CGGTTCTGTAAATGTTGGTGAAATCACAGCACAGGTTTAGAGGGAGTGTATTGGAAACATTTTGATACGTAGGGCAGTGACTGACCAGATGATATGTCAGCCAACAAGCACATTTCTAAAGGCTGAGATGCAGTTTACACTTGAAGCTATTTCTAAAATTGAAACGATTATTTTCTTTGGTTCTGTCTCCTCTTGTGGTGATGGTGGGATAATAGCCACTCAATCTAAACTTCACACTTAAAAAATAAAGCAGAAGCAAAGTACTTTTCACATTCTAAGCCAGCAAAATCAGCAGAAAGCAAAACAGAACCACTGAAATAAAATCCTTTGATTGCTGTTTATAGTTATGCACAGGCGAGCATTTGCGCTGCAATAGGGCTACCTGTTAGAGGAAGTTACAAAAGTCAAATTATAAAACATATATGCTTTAAAAGTCTAATTTAGTAAAAATGGCCACTTTTTTTATCAATAACATTTAAACAACAGGGACAGCATGCAGTGTTATGCAAAAATAAGCTGCTGCTGCGGTTCAGTAAGCTGTTAAGCTTCAACACCCGTCAGCAGAATGCACTGAAGTATGTGATGGCCTTCAAATGAAGTGATGCACAGTGGCACTCCTCACATGTGTTCTTCTTATGCCTTATGTGACAGTTTATGATCCATGCGACAGCCATTAAAAGGATGTTACAATCATTGTAATATGGTATTTTAAATATTAATTTTACTGAGGGCATTGATATAATCTGTACCCTTAACAATATTTTCCAAAACTAATAATTTGTGCTTCATATGCACCTCACATCTACATGCAAACAGTCCTTGCTGATATTAAAAAAAACTAGTAAAAATGAAAGAAATCCAGAGATTAAAGAAAAGCCCAGTTTGCTCAGACTCATGATCACTTTCAGAGATAGAAACCATAACAATGATGCAGCTGTTTTTGTATTTGTACACCTCCCTTGCCTTGTCCTGACTCTGTTTCCATGAAAAAATGATAGACCAAAAGAAAATGATCAGACATGAGCTGCAGCTGTTTTGAGAGAATTGTTTTAAAATATTTTTAAGCAGTGCTTTAGGAAGGCTCCATATCTTCCTCATCTAAATTTTCAATCCAATTGAATTTATTTATATAGCATCAATTTAAGCTCAAAATAAGTTTACACTGGTGAAAAGTTTTTTGCCTAAGGAAGTCCAGACGATTGCTTCAAGTCACTGACTTTGGAGCAATCTCTCCCAGAACCAGCATGAAGTGACAAGACACAGTCAATTCCACTGCGCTTTAACTTTGCAGCCGTCCGTCACTGAGCGTGCATGTAGCGTAAGTGGAGAGGAGAACTCTCCCTTCAGAGGGAGAAACCTCCAGCAGAACTTGGCTCGGTATGAGCAGCTGTCTGCTGCAACCAGCTGGGGGTCTGACGAGAAACGTTCATACATTGACGTTGACGTCACCGATTACTGGTGCAGCACGAATATCGCAACATTTTTACTTTGAATTTATCAGCATGAACAAACAGTTGATTTTAAAGATGTATATCGATAGGGGAGCATAATTATTGTTCCTTTTTGCTCTGATTATGTGTTACCATATTGTCACCTATTTTAACTATTTAAGGTAGTTTAAGGTTATACTTGAAAGTAAAACCGGCAACCGACAGGAAATCCACCTCTATTCATTTTTAACCTATATTAGAGGCATATGGTAGCCAGCCTTGACCGCTCGGTCTGTTATCACTGCCTGAGAAAATATTAACCATGATTTAAGTTCTCAGAGCTCAAATCACTTTAGAAAAATACTTTCGATCTGTGGTAATGAAAGTGGTTGTCAAATGCAATGACTCACCACTACCATGTTGATGTGCTTTTGGCTTTACAATCTTTAATTTGATGATGCATCATTTGAAGTTTTTCTGTAAAATGAAAGGTCGATGAATCATAACATGTTTTTCATTATTATGTTGGTGAAATTCTACTGCTCTACAATGTATGCATGTATGGATTAGATGACCAAAGAACTATAAAAGGCAAGGAGGGGTTTGTGTTCCCATGGTGACTCTCTCGATGACCCCCAGGTCACCCCAGGCCTCTTGGGACATAAATCTCTCTCTTTCTCTCTCTTACACATTTACACATTCATACATATTTCTGTTATAAACAGTCTTGAATTTTCCTTGGAGCCTGACTTGAAGATGTGGTGCATCTAGCTGCTGTTCTACCAGCTTCCAGTCTGTTTACCAAGACAGAAAAAAAATGAGAAGAGGGAGAGAGGGAAGTTGAAGGACAAACAGAAGGAGGAAAAACACATTTCCAAGACAGATGGGTGATGAGAAAACATCAGGATGGGTTGTGGAGGAGAATAAGGAAGGTTTTAAAAGTGCTAAGAAATATTCAATTAGTGGGTACCATATTCAGATTTTTGTAATTATTTTAACCTAATTGGGTTAAAAACGCACTCTTGGTACTCCTCGTTGGGAGAGTGGAGAGGATAGATTGAAACTGGGGGGAAGGGAACATGCCTGCTCACTGATCATGTTAAACAGTCGCCACCCGCTCCTCCTCCTCCTCTTCCTCTTCCCTTCCACCACCACCCATCTTTTCACTCCACCCCCTCGGCACCATGCTTTCCCCCCTCGCAGCTACACCCTGACGTGCTCACTCATCACTTGTGCACAGACGGATGTGCTCAGACCCCCAGAAGTGACCAGCACACGAGCATGTCTGTGCAGAGAATCTATTGGTCGCCTGACCTCATCCCACTGAGTGATTGTTAAAAAAAAAAAAAGAAGAAGAAAATCTGATGCTCACTCCAAAGGGAGGTGGGGATGGAGAGCATTCGGTCAGAGGGCGTGGAAAAAACAGGCTGTTTCCCCGCATCCCTTTTGAGTCTCTTCCATCGCATCTTTGCTGTGCTCATCTGCTGTAATTTATTTAGTTATCTTTGTTCTTTTGTTAAATTTGAGTAAAAATACAATTTTAATTAAAAAAAAAATAACCATTTGCTATAAATGTTCTAGTCTTACTAAATGTTGTCAGGATGAAATCTTGACAACATTTCATCCTGGTTTTGATGAATTATTACTATAATAATTCATCAAAACCTTTTTTTACACATTCCAATATTTGCAGCATGTAAAAGTTTACATAATCAAAAAATAACTAAATATGGGTGCATCAATTTTACAAAACTTATTATATTATAAATGCATATTCCGATTTGTAGCTATATTACATTATGATGTGAAATTGAAATCGACTGAAACCAGAGCTTCTTTGTTTTGAAGACATCCCTTAACCCTCTGAAACCTGCCAACAAATATTAACTGAAATCACAAGACTAATGTGCATGGTTTATCTTTATACTCCTTCTTTCTGCACATATGTGCATATTAGATAATAAATACTAAAGTGAGATAATATGTTACTCGGGCTAAGTTTACACTTTTAATTGAATTACACCGCATTCATTTTGAAAAAGCCCAGGGGTATTCTCATTATTAATTTTATGGTCCAAATCATTTTTTCCAAGGCTTATCAACAGAGCCCACGGTTTATAGCTTTTAATCTGAAACATAAAAGTTGCAAATGTCAGCATGGACCCTTTTTGGAGACAGATGTAATTAGAATAAAATACAGAACAAAATACCCAGATGCCCAGGTGGTCTTCAATAAAAAAACAAACAGTAATTCATAAACTTCTCCGTTTACCTCATGATTCATTTTTGTCCCTATACGCTGTTTGCATATACATCTTTTTTATTTATCAGCTTAGAGCACGCTGGGGAAAGTTGGTGCAAATAAAACTACTTTAAAAACATAAACCACCCACTCAAAAACTGAAACTGTAATGGCAAAATGTCAGTCGGTAATAGAACGGTAGTCATAGAAACTGAAGATCAGCTCATACTGTTGCTCATGCCGCCTCTGGAGCGCTGACCATTAGTGGTAACAGCCGAGCAATCAGCAGATTTTGAAAACACTCCCAAAACATTTCTATTTTTACATTTCCTCCATCCATTTTTATCTTCTGATTCTATTTCCATACCTATATATTATTATCTATATATTATCCATATCATTCATTTTGCTAATTTATCTTTTTTTAAAGTTTCTTACTTTTCTTTTTGCTGGTGTAATGTTTTGTAATATGAATAGTGCATCGGCTATTCTTGATCACAGTCAAATATGCATCCTGTTTTACCTCAGGATTGGAGCATGCAGCTGCATGCATGCACAGGTTAGGAAACTATTTCTGCTTTTTGCATGCATAAACAATGTAAAATGCATATTCTGACCAAGTCACATTCTGGCTTTATGTGAATTTTGGCTTTAGCAAATTAACTAACTATGACTGGATGATGCCTTGAAACAACATTTTAAATTCAATTTAAATCTGACAAACTGTGTAGAATTAAGTAACTTTTTAGAAACTGATTTTTCACATCTTATTCAATTTTGTATACATGTTTGCACAAACAGAAACATTGTACCTGTGTCTAAATGCGAAGGAATGACATCCATTTTGCGGAAAGAAAGCCTGGTCACGTTTCTAAAGTGCTGCTTTTGACATTCCCCTGTTTTACATAGCATTTCCTTTTGTGTATTTTTCCTTATGATCCGATCTTAGTTCCATGAATGTCCCCAAGTGGCCAAATATTTATTTACTGAATTAATTAGAATGCATGTCGGTGCTACTAAGGAGCTGTTCTGACTTTTCTGCACCCAGAATTGAGTTGAAACTATCAGTACAGACAGAGCATCTGCATAGTGTAATCAGTGGGTTGCCGGTTGAAACCCTTTGTTCCATTTGCCTCAGTTGTTGTGTCTTTGAGCAAGACACTTCACCTGTCATGCCTTCTGTTGTTGGTCAGAGGCCCTGGTAGCACCGATGTATTGCAGCCTCACTGCTGTCACACTGCACCAGGGCAGCTGTGGCTACAATGTAGCTTGCTACAATCAGTGTGTGTTGTGTGAAGAGCTTTGGAGGCCTTGGACTTGATAAAGAGCTACACGAATAATGGCCATTTATCATTTTAGCTTTTTTCTTAAATTAATTAATTCCCGTAAATATTTGAGAAGTAGGGGGCACTAAACTTTTAGAAATGTTCAAATAATCATTAAGTAAAGAAAATAAAAGAAAATTACCTTACTTCATCCTTACATAGCATCCTGTAGATTCCACATCTTTCATTCCAATATCCCTCCGCCGTGGCACGGTTGTCCTTCCTTCATGTCTTGAGCCTCTTTTCTACACACTTTTTGACAAACAGGTGACAACATAAGGAATAGTTTGACAGGATCTTTACCTTTATCAAATGGGATCTGGAGTTTTGTCATGTTAGATCACAGAAAAGAAAAGCCAGCCCAAAACAGCACTACAGAGGATTTGTGACAAGCTAAAATAAAAATATTAAAACTGATCATTTTAATAGATATTTTGTAATTTTTTTCATTTTTATTCACACTGTTCATCTTTTCATACACTGATTAGGGATTTAATAGTCATGTGTCTTGGCCTTCAGTATACTACTTCTAGTTTCACTGCATTTTTTTCTTGCACAGGTATGTGCATGCAGATTTCCCTTCATTTTGGTACATACATACATTTAGATGAAATATCAAACGATATTGAGGGCACTGCGATCAGGTTGCATGTCCTTGAGGTAAAGAGAAAAAGAGAACCAGTGTGTGAAACTGCAAAATCATCCTGCCTCATTTTCAGCCTTCTCCCCAATTAGAAACAACTAGCTGAGCAGATATGTTCACTTCTTTTATTAAAAGATTGAAAATAGTTTGCTCTATTTAGTTGAAATTGCCATGAAAATGCCATTTGGGCAGTTCAGGAAACTTATTTCAGTTTTCCAAAAGAGTCTTGAAAAAACATTGGACTGCACATTATTTCAGCTTCACATCAGCTCACAAGTCTGACAATGCTAGAAAAAAATAGATTTTCATATCATAGTACTTGTTTCACCCACACTCGCAAGACAAAGCCAGCACTGACAGATGTGGGTGTGCTCTTACTGTTCACTACAAACTTTTGTTTGAAAAGTTGACATCTTTTCAACATGCATATTTTCACAGACCATAGCAAACGGTTTATGGTATGTGACCGGATTTGAAATGACCTGTGGGGCGTAAAATGCAAAAATCCTCTCCTGAAAACAGCAAGTGCTTTGTTGACATAGTGACTCGAATTGAAGTTAGCAGTGTGCTGCCTTACAAAAGAATAGTAAAGAGTTGCATTTAGTGGAAGACACTGATTAAGCCTGAGCAGTGCGAGTGAAAGATGGTATTTATATACAACTGTTGTTTATTGATATATTATAAATGTCAAAAACATGATTTGTTTAGTCAGTTTTCAACATTTTTACACTTTGTTTCCATATGGCAGCTATAAATGATACAGCTAGTAGTTCATTCTCTGAATCTCTCATAAGGAGCAGATTTAGCTTGTAAACCAGGAGGAGGTCTGTAAGACATCAGAGAACAGCACTGGCTATAATTTTTTAATTGGATTTTTTTGTTTTAGAGATCACATATTTTGTATCCTACTATTTAGTGATGACCAATCTAGATTTACATGGAGAAATCTGTCTCCTTGAAGTTCCTCGATGTGACATTTGCAGCTTGGACCTATCGCTAGCAGGATTGTCCTGCTCTTTGATTAAGAAAGGAAACTAAGTTATCCACAGGGTGTGAGATGTACAGGGTTGCACAGTCACTGCACATGTGGGAGCACTTAGAGTCATAACATTGATCTGGAAGATGTAGAAGCTAAACAATTGCTGTGACAATAACCAACACATTTCCAGAGCAGTTTATTTTAAATGGATTAAATCGACTGGTAAGAATCCTAATCCAAAGTATTTTCTGTTGTTTATTTCTTTTAGAAAATCATGTTCATGACAAAATAATGTAGTATACCGCTGTAATGTAACTGAAGCATCCCTTTAAATATTTAATGAACCTCAAGTTATTCCATCATTGGGTTTCCCTGGGTTTGTGAATGATCTGACAGCTGCCAGTCTTTTGAATGGGAAAGACAAGAAAACATGAAATTGAAGTAAGTTTAAAGTATCTAAAAGAATGCAAACTGGGGCATGTTGGCTTTTAGAACAGAGATAAGCAAGGCTGATTAAGGATCCAGGTTTGTTTAGCTAGCATAGACAATGAGAAGGACATTAAGGGAGACAAAATCTCCCAACAATTTTTCAGGCAACCTTTTCGAATGTACCCCACCTCTGTCCTAATCACTGCTAGAGATCCAGTTTTACCTCAACCCGGCACGGATAAGCGGGTTTAAACAATGGATGGATGGATTCTTGACTAAGAGGCTTTGGTTTTTGTGCCGTTTCCCTAAATAGGTTTAAAGTCACTCCCTTTGAGCTTGTGGGCAAAAATATGAGACTAAAAATCCTGAACTTTGTCTTCATGAATCAAAAGTACAAGCATGCTGTCAGTCAGCAGAACAGCGACTACCCTCAGTTCTCCGTGATACTGAAAGTACTGAAATATCTCAGACCCCACTGCAGCCCCCGGTGGTGCCAAGATTATAGCCTGTCGTCCTCAGACCAATGGTGTTATTTGCACAGCAGAGGGTAGAGCTTTGTGAAGCAGAGGGGAGGAACAGGAAGTGCAGCATCAGACTGACAAAATGTGATTACATGCAGTTATTTTGAGATGATTTCAAAACTGAAAGCTTTTTTGCCCCTTTCTTTAATTATTTGGAATAACAGAACATGACTGACAATTTTTTTCAACTCAATTTAAATCTGATGTAAAATGTAAAAAGGAAACTGGAGATTTTTTAAAGTGTTTTGAGCCACACAGATGTCCTAGAATTGAGCAAATACGCTTTAACTGTGCTAGATCTACACAGACATGGAAAGAGTTGAGTGACTCGTAAAGTATCCTAAATTTAAACTTCTTGTTTGCTTCAATGTCCTGTTAAACATGGTAAAATTAGCTCAGACATCCATAGTATTTGGTGAATATAGGAGATTTTTTGCAGAGGATACTGTACAGCTATTCATACACCTTGGACATTTTCACATTTTGTCATATTATAATCACAAACGTCAGGGTATTGTGGCTCATAATTGTGAAGTAGAAAGTAAGGGATGTATATTTTCCAAAGGGTTTTCATATATAAATCAAAGGCATGCATTTGTATTTAGCCCCAATCACTCTTTTTACCACTTCTGGAATGGTATCAGAGGATTGTTAGAGAACACTGGTGAAAACAGGCATCATGAAAAAACAATCACCTGGCATTGGGGTCAGGAAAAGGTCAGCTAACATCTCTGCAGACCCCACACATCCTGGACCAAACCATTTACAATGCTAAACGTACAGCCAGAGCAACAATGGAAGTTCAGATCAAAATCAAGTGTGTCCCAGTCAAAGTCCAGACATACTGTTAAAACTTTACTCTGGATTGACTAAATAACATTTAAATTTAAACATATTTCAATGAAACTGTTTAAATCAATATTTTTTTTGTCAAGAAATTTTAAACATTTTTCTGAAATTTTTGATCCTAAAACTTTTAAAAAATGAATTATTTTGTTGTTTTTCTGGTGAGCTTTATGTGATTTCTGTTCTTTATGCTCCTGAAAGTGGATTGGGACTAAAACTGAAAAGCCAGAAAAGGTATTTATCACATAATAAAGGATGTTTCGGACACCAAAAGGGGCAGTCATGGTTTGTTGCTTCAGTCCATGCACAGCACATTTGAGGTTAAAGCAGCAGACTGGACTTAAATCAGCTGAAATTATTAAAGAAGAGCAGTAAGGTCATTCAGATGGATGAGGGACATTTAGTGAGCTGTATAATTAAATGAAGAGACCCTCAGGTCTCCTTTCAGTGCTATATTCATGCAAGCCAAGAGCCATTTTTATGATATATCATTTGCAGAGGAGCACTAATTACAGAAATGTTTCCTGGGCAATAATGGGACACATGTGGAGGATAGAAACACATTTATAGCTACCGTCTTGTTTTTCAGCCACAACCCCAAATTATTCTCCTTTCGTCCGTTTCTCACTCGCACCTGATTCAAGGTCAGCATGAGGAGTGAGTTAAGCTGGTTTTAGTAGAGGGATGGGCTAGAAGGGACTTACCCCCAGGCAGTCTTCATCTGAGTTGTCATTATTCTTGGAGATGGGTTCAGGGACACAGAAAGATGGTGGAATAATATGCAAGGACAGAGTGAGTCAGAAAGTGAGTCAAGTTATACAGTCATGGTTGGTGCAGCCAGACATTGCGATGTAGAGAGAAGCAATATGTGAAGGCTAAGGGATGACTTTTTCAGCCTCTTAAATTAATCTTTACTTTAGTCTGTAAGAAAAGAAGATGAAATTGTGGAGAGCTTTAGAAGGTTTTTATTTTTGAAACACTTAACCTAGATTCCATGTGTTTAAAGAGCAATAAAACTTGCTTTCCTGTGTTTAACATTTAACTGTAGTTCAGAAGTAATATGTGAAACACATTCGCTTTGGGAAAAAAAAAAATCTGATTAAAATCTATTACTAGCAACAGAACAGAAAAAAAACAGTATACACACGTATGGTAGAAAACAAATGAAAGAGTGCAGCAACAGCGGCTTTGAGCTTACTTCCAGACTGACTTGTGTTTATCCTGATAGGATTTCCAGGACAAATTGTGACTCCGGTGGTCAACAGGCCATAGAGGGCCCGTTAAGTCAGAGCCAGGATTGTGAAGAGTCGGATGAAAGCCTTAACGTTCAGCAGTGTTGTGTTCAAGGCCACCTAACCCGAGACCAAGACAAGACCAAGACCAGAGTGTATCGAGACCGAGACCGATCTCGAGTACTACAACACTGACGTTCAGCAGCTTTATGGTCAGTCAGGAAGCAAAAGGTTCCAGTTTGCAATTTCCAACTACTCCAGTTTGAAAATGTCCTTGTCATTTCATAAACATTGATACTTTTGCTTTAAATAATTAATAATGCAGGCAGTCATGTTCTGCTATCAGTAATGCATGTGAAATAACATACCGAATTCAAAGCAGAAAACACCAGATGTAATCTGATGCAACAGCTAATGATACTTTAGGCAAATGATGGATTTTTACTCCTGGATTCCAGCGTGAAATCCAGTATGATGGTCAGAGAAGTTAAAAGTATCAGAAGGCATTAAGCTGCAGGTTCTTTCCTTTGTTCATCTTTGCTGCACCTGCAAACCCACAGGTGGTCTCAGGCTCCAGTGAGCTACCATAAGAATCTGACTGCAGAAACATCTTAGCATAATCAATGTAGTGCATGAGTCTGCAGTTTTTACTAAGAGAGAGTGAAGGAGTTTATTATCAAAAAAAAAAAATCAACATAAGGACAGAGGGGTGCATGTAAAATATCATACTGCACACAAATCACAGTCCAAAAATGTGGTTTTATGTAGGGATGTTGCAAGACTTTTCAGGTCGAACTAGCTTACCCTGAAGTTTTGTCCTTCTTCTGTCCTCCTCTTCCTCTCAGGCAGAGGAAACCATTTCTTGATTTCCTGGAATGTTCGATCAATGAACTCCACAAAATGTAAGAATGGTTGAAATTTCCCACTACTGAACTGAAAACAACCAGAGTAAAACTGCTGCTGGTATTTAGAAATCCATTTCCAAGAAGCAATGTTATATCAAAAAGAGATGATTGACTTTTTTTTTTTTTTTTTGCTAAACATACTTTTAAATCTGTATTAATCCAGGCACCGTCGCTGAGAGGAAGTTGAATAACTAGATCATTTTTAGCTATAGTTACTTTGTAGTAGGACAGACTGCACCTTCTATAAAAGGGAAAGGTGTCGTCTGCGATGAGACCATTCAATCATTCAGACATCATTGCACTGATTCTCATATTGGCAGTGAAGCTGACCCACGCTGACTAGTTAAAGTTACTGAAAAGAACCATTAGAGAGTCTGAATTCCCTAAAGACCACTCTACGGCTGTGCACTTTGGCATCCTGTACTCTATTTAGTGTATCTGTGTTGTTCGAATTCACTCTTTGACATCCACCAATGCAGCCGAGTTCTTCCCATTGTTCCAGAGACATGTTACTGTCTGTTGTGCGCGACTCAAATCCTCCACCTACTGTGTACTTCTCTACCGCTGAACTGAAAGCCTGTCAACAGCCATTATTCCGAGCAAGACCTCTGCTGTGATCCCTGCCATGTTTCATCGAAGTGTGGAAATTTATTCTAAAGCTCACTGTCTGAGCATGTTAGCTACTACTAAAATTACAGCATGTGGGTGTTTGTGGGTGTTTTTTTGTGCGCGTCTACCCGCTTGCCGTCGTTCTGCTGCTTCCAGCTCTTGTCACTCCTGTGGACGAATCCCTGCAAAAGCAGCTGAGTGGACGGGTTTCGAAGGCTCTATTTCACAGTGGAGTCTGAAGGACTTGTGTGTTAGGGTGTGTGTGGTCAAACAATTAGCACTGTTTGTCACCTTCTCACAACACATCCCTCACACGCTGATCTGATTAATGGAGTCCCAATGGATTGTCTGCATAGCCTCTACAGTGACTAAAGCTATGTCTGTGTCTCTGTTTGCAAAGGATTGCAAAGTTGTTTTACAATTTTTTTTTTCTTTTACCTTTTTGATACTGCAGGTATATAGCCTGCATAAGTGGCAGACAGAGTGTTTATTTAGACAGAATTACATATTTAACCAAATTGTACTCATACATTTTGTTCTTCCACTTTTCTCATTTAGACAATTCCAGTTGGCAAAACTTACTCCAGAAACTTTTCCACATTTTGTCACGTTACAACCATAAACCTTATGGGGTAATTTGTAATTTCGTTTAATATACCAACAGAAAGCACAACATGATTGTGAAGTTGAGGAAAAAAAAGATACATAAAAATTGTGACTTGCATTTTTTTTTTTAATTCAACCCCTATAGATCTCAATTCAATTCTGAAATGTCCAAAGAGTATGGATACTTTGAGACCATGAAATAAGTGGAGCATGATTTTGATCAAATTGTTTGGCTTGGATAAGGACTTCAACTCTGCAAAAAAAAAAAAAAAAAAAAAAAAAACTAAAAAAAAGTCACACACCCAACACCCATGCGTGTGTCATTTGATCCCTCTCATATATGTTCCTCTGGATTTCTGAACAAGTCCTCCCCACTCAGGATTTGCATTTAATTTTGCTTGATCCTAATCCTGACCAAATCTTCTGATGTGGAGCAGAAATACAAATTAGAAGTGCATCAATCTTTGTGACATTCAATTTCTAACACTGGGACGATGCTTTCATTTAATAGTCTAGTTTTTCTGAGGGAGTTTTTTTTTTTTTAACCCCTTAAGCCACCCTTTGTGTCCCACTTCTTATGTAATTTTAGTTTGGCTCAAGTGTATGTGTTTAAAATGCTTGATGTATTTAACAGAAAATGAAGAAAAAATATATATTTTATTAGAATGTCCTAGAACCAAGAAGTTTGCTTCTGATGACAATTCATACCGACATTCCTCAAAGCATAACAAAACAATGAGAAAGAAATAGAAATTAAAATAAAATCATTTGTTTGTATGTATTTACATTTATTTTACAAATGGCATGCTGAAAATGATCTTACCTTCCTCAAGTATCAATGGAAACGTTTTGGCATTATGGCAATCTTATCAGAGCTAACAAGATTTTTGTCAACATAAAAAAAACACTTGGCCTTGCTGTCTGCATTTATGTTAATGTTTACAAGTGTTGCACACTGTGGCTAATTATTTTTATTACCTAAGAAGAAACATATGGCTCCTTATTTTTTCAATTTACCAGCTTCTCAAAAGGAATGTTTTCGACTCCTGCCTGCGGTGCTCTTACTAATGCTTTACTTGCTCCAAAAATTAGATAAAACTTCCTCTCCTGCTTTCTTTCGCTGACTCAAAGTTCTACACATCTTTTAATTACAAACCTCTGAGGCCAAAACGCGCTGCTCAAGCTGTTCCTTCTTGTTTGGTTGGCTGAGTGACCTGCAGACTGGATTAGAGTCCAGCTGTATCACAGCTTGAGAGAAGAGCAGCGGTGTTTTGTTTGTAGATGAGCAATGTGCTTCGTGTTCCTCTAAAACTTTACAGGCTGTCTCTGAGGAGACACGCTCCAGAACGGATTTAGAATTCAAGAAAGTTACCGACTGACGCGTTCGGTGTAGGTTAGCATTGCTTCAAGGCTATTGAATAGTTCTCTGAATAGCAAATGCTTTTCACTTGAAGTCACTCCAACAAATTCAAGGTGAGACGTTGGGACGTGTTTGGAGCAGCTGGAGAAAAGTTATCTGTACAATTGTTTTTGTTTTTTTTGTTTGTTTTTTTTTTTACAGAATTTTCCCTTTTTTATTTGTCTTGCTCACAGTGAAGTTCTGTCTTTTCAGCATATGCCCATACTCCAGTGCTGTGTTCCCGCTTGCTAATAATGACTTTTGCTCTTGAGTCATGACTTAGCAACAAGCCTGCTGGCCTATTTTTGGTTTCAGGCAATTATCCGGAATGCAGTGTGTTGGTGTGGTCCTGTGACACTTCCAGATACAACAAAGAGAAAAGGTCTCTGCCCACATCTGTCAAGTTTCAGACATAATAGCATGTTATTGAACGTGTAGACGGAATGACACATCTCACTTTCTGACATGTTGTGAAAACGACCCAAATATAGAAACCAAATCAGTTTTTAGCTGCATTGGTTTGCATAATATTATCTGCTGCGGTTACTTGAATGTAATAAAAACAATAAACAGAAAACATGAAAAGTTTTACAAATAAATAAGTAAACTTTATCTTTCACAGATAAAAATCACAAACACTGCAGTGAGAGAACCGAAATCTGATGATAAAGAAAAATTATATAAAATAAATTAAATTCCAGCACTTTCCACATCTATTGCAACCCCTAAAGCTATTTTAAAATAACAAGTGTGCATTTTATTCATGCTACTGAAAATATTAAAAAAATATATAATCTTTAATTTGAGAGAATTTCTCCATTAAAAAAAAAAAAATCCAGCCTCAGTAATATTTATATTTTCTGCAGAAAGTCACTTCAGCCAAAATAATCGGTACTCTGAGCTCTCCTGAAATACAGCTGGGCTTGATTTATTTATTTTTCATTATATTTTACTTGACTGACCTGGAATTTTGAATTAGTTATCAATAATATGTTCTGTGTTTCTGGGGTATAAATGTGATGTGGCACAGTAGCACATTTTTCTTAGTCACATATCAATATGGGAAAGGCAAGAGCACATAACATTCAAGTAAGGTAGATAGACAAATGATCTTGTTAATTCGGAGGTTATTCCAAGAATGTCATCTAAGTTTGTCCAAACTGAGGGTCTCTTGAATAATTAAAATGTTAAATAACTAAAACTGTGACATTCAAGTCTGGCAGAGGACCCAAGTTCATCTTGCCATCACACACACTGAGGAGAATTATAATAGAGTTGAAAAATGTGAGATTATGCTACTGCAATAAAAGATACATTTATTTTAAAGAGTTATTTTTTTGCAGATCATTTCCAGAGGTTGGAATATGCTGGGAGTGCAGTATGTGAAAGAGAACTGATGTCACTAATTTTAATTACTTCTGTGTGTGCAAAGAGTCTCCTATAAAGGTTCAATAAAGACTGAAAAAAACAATCATTTGTGATAAAGTACACAGTTAATTTAAAAGTGAAATTTTCATCACCAAGTCTATATTTAGTAGGTTCAACGAAGCATATTTTTTCACGCAGGACAGCATAGCTTCCATTTGAATATAATAAAAGCAACAGATTATGAAACATTTGCTTCAAAGAAGTGAAAGAGGACATAGGTTGATCTCATATTCAGGCTAATAATTGAATGCTGTTCATTCCAAAACATTTCTGGAACGTGCATCTTGGCTGATTCAGTGGACAGCTTAAAGTGAAAATGTCTAATCCCCAAACTCCATCCTCACAAACCCACTCACTAATAAATACATGACCACCTAACCCACTCTGATAAGCAACAAAAATATCACCAGCAGATCTAGTGAATGGTAAAAAAAAAAAATCAGTTACCATAGCTACATTATTAGTTAGATGCAATTCC